CGAAACGGATAGAAGTAGAATAAGTTGAGAGAGCTGAGTTGATGGGAAGGCCCAGCGAGTGGAGGGACAGACCTCTGATTGGATACGGCACCCCCAGGGGCCCCCATAATGTGCGACTGGGTACTGGATGGAGGTTTCCCGGCCATTATGGGAACCCCGGATGGGGAACGAGGAATCATCACAGAGCTGGCCCCACCAGCCCCCCCTGTAAAGTGTCTCGGGCGGCAGGGGTAGAGGCTCTTCTTTCTACCTTCTGGATTACACTGAACTTGTGTACATGCTTACCGGGGATAAGCAACCGGACTGCTGCCCCCCAGCATAGATGGGCCCTTGTTTTTCAAAAAAAAAAAAAAAAAAAAAAAAAAAAAAAAAAAAAAAAAACATTCCGCGCACTACTGCAGTCCCCTCCTACCCCTGAGCCAGTCAGCATCCAGTGCTTATATGGCCCCGGCTTTCAGATCTCATTGGAAGAGTAGTGGTTTAGTAATATCAAGGAGCAGGGAAACACCTATATGACCCCGTTTTACCACCTGGACCTAAGGGACAGCCTATTGACGAGCATAACTTGAGGACCTAGAAAACAGGCCACATGCATTCCAGTCCCGAGGTGTGGAATGAACCACAGAACCCAATACCATTACGCGACATTGTCATGCACCGAAGACCTTGTGTGTTCATGTAATTGCAAACAAATTGCAAATAACACAGCGCACCGCAACTGCTTTGGATAGCACGTCTCCTCTGCAGTGTAAGCAAACAGTTCACACCACAACGTCAGCACTGCACTTGCAGCCTTGCCTGCCAATCATAGCGATCGGGTTCCAGCAGTTTCCCCCCATAGACCTAAGCCTCTAGAGAGTAAGTGTCGGACCCTACTTATTGGTATTCTGTAAGAGGAAGTGATTGCACTTGCCGGTATTCCGTACGAAGTTACCAACTCGACACAAACCTAGTTAGGCAGGAGGATCAGGATCAGATCGATCCCTTGCCTTGAGTCGTCCACAAAGCGTGTAAAATCTGTCTTAAAGGAGAAGTAAGGAACAGGAGGACAGGGCATCCTTTTAAAGTTGGAAGTCGGAACGATACAGAGAAGATTAGCATGGCCACTTGGCAAGGATGACATGCATAAATCAAGAAATGGTCCAGTGTTTTTTAGAACAAAGAAAAAAAGAACAAGAGGACGGCCAGACAGATGGACGGAAAGAAGGGAGCTAGGAAGAAAGGAAGGAGGGATGGAAA